GGCCTGGGAGCGAGTGAGGTCGGCAGGGTCCCCACCGGCGGAGTCGCCACAGCAAGCCCTGACACCACGGAGGGTGCGCCGTGACCCGATCCGAGGGTTTGTCACCTCCGTATGCTGGGGACAGGATGGGGTGCGTCTCCCAGACGGAAGGGCCTAGAATATCCTGGTCAACCAGAGTGGGCCGACACCGGGCATGTGCAGATGGCTCTGGGGGCTGGGGACACGTGTCTTTCTCGTCCTGTCCCCTGGGACCTCTGCCGAGGGAGCCGCTTAGCCTCCCAGAGCCCGCACCTTGTCGACAGTGCAGCCGGTCCTGGGGTGTCAGAGGCAAACCAGGAAGCGTGGGCGAGGCGGTGGGGGACCAGAACCCCGTGCACGGCAGGTGGGACGCAAAACAGTGCAGCCGCTTTGGAGCAGAAGCTGGTAGTTCCACAAAATGTGCACCAGCGGTTACCGTATGACCCAGCAATCTCACTTCTGGGAGGGCGGCCCCCAGGATCGAAAACAAGGTATTCAATCCAAAAGTTCCTATGTGCATGTTTATCTTAGGGCACCATTCATGACAGGAAACGACCGAAATGTCCATCAGCCGGGGGACGGATACGCACACAGGATCCAGCCACACCGTGGAATATTACTCGGCCCTGAAAAGGACGGGGCTGTGACACTCGCCACCGCGTGGAGGGACCTTGGGGACACGGTGCTCAGGGAGTGACAGACACCCACGGCCGCCCAGTGTGTGAGTCCGTTGACGTGAAACGTCCAGGAGAAGCCCATCCACAGACAGGAAGTGGGTGCTGTGTGCTGTCAGGGGGCTGGGGGAGGGCGTGGCGGTGACGGCTCATGGGGACGCGTCTCCTTGGGGGGGACAGAAAGTTCTGGAACCAGACAGGGCTGGTGGTTGCACTTATTGTGAATATGCAAAGTGCCTCTGAACGTTACACGTTAAAAACGCCTGTGCCGGCGTCCTNGAGCGGTGACTGGCTCGTCCCTGAGGCTGAGCTTGTGAGGGGACTCGCAGGGCAGGGGCAGGGGCGGCCCCCAGACCCACAAACCACGGTCTGCTGGGGACACGGCGGCACCGACACGTCCCTCGGAGCCTGGCTTGACCTGTGAACTCGGGGCTGCTCCTGGCCCCCGACCCCCATTCAGGCCCTGTCCCTTGTCCCCCCACCCGTCTCGGGCATCGGCAAGGACCCCCGTGGTCTCCTGAGGCCGCTGCACAGCCCAGAAGCAGCGCCCCAGCGTCGCAGGGCAGCCCCTGAGCAGGAAAGACCCAGGTCTGTGTGGGCAGCGTCCTGCTCTCGGCACGGCACGGCCCCGAGCGGCTGCCCGGCAGTCAGCACCGAAATTCCCTGCTTTCCACCCGAGGGGAGCCAGCTCGCTGCTTTCTGCTTTGGGTTCTGCGCCCTCACCTTACTTTTCCGGTGACAGCCCTCAGCGGGAGACCTGCTCTCTTCGTAAACTTGAAGCACCGACGTCTCAAGCCACTGCGCTGTCCCTCACATCTGCAGCTGTGCCGCCGCCCCCCCAAAGCTGGGGCTCGGTCCCCGTGACCCACGAGCGCCCCGCCCCTCCCCCAGCCCCGCACCCCCCAACCTACTTCCTGTCTCTGGAATGTGACTCCTCCAGGGTCTCACAGGAGTTGTCCCCGAGCGCCTGGCGTGTGTCACGGCGCACACGTGTCCTCGGGGTCCATGCCTGCTGTGGCAGGTGCCACAGTTTCCCCGGCTTTGAAGGCCGAGGACTAAACGCTCTGTTCACCCGTTCACCGCCCGGTGAGAAAGGCGACTGCCGTGTGACCCACACATCCCGGTTTGGGGGGCACTCCCAAAGCAATGGGCATCGGGAGGTGGAGGAACTGTCTGCACCCCCATTTCAGAGCAGCATTCCCAGAGGTCTGAGCAGCTTTGTCCCTGTTCCTCAGGCCCCTGTCAGCCCAAGGCCCCCAAGCCCTGCGCCCACGTTGCTCTCAGGCCCCTGGATGCTTCCTGCTAATTGTCCTCTGGGGGACACGGGCACCCCCCCCACAATTCTCACTGCGTGTCCTCCCTGGGTCTGCAATGGGTTCAGCGTGGCCCCACCCATGGAAGGACGTCCCCATCCTGAACCCCAGAACCTGTGACCGTGTTTTGCTCCTTGGCGAAGGGGGACTTGAGGTGGCCCGTGGGATCGGGGCCGCTGGTCGGCCAACCCTCAGATGGGCAGGTGACCCTGGGGGTCCGGGTGGGCGCCCAGTGACCTATCGGGAGGAAGAGGAAGGCGGGACGCAGACAGTCAGACAGACAGGACACTCTGCAGCTGTTTGCAGCCTCGTGACCGGGCGTGAGTGGCCCCCGAAGCTACGCAAAAGCAAACGGGACCTCCCAAAGGAGCGCCACCCGCCCGCCCGGCCACACGGGGACCTGAGCCTGGGCCGGCCCCTGCGACCCTCCCGGCTGGCCTCCCGCCGTCGATGGACGTGGCGCCTTCCAGCCACCGGCTCACAGCAGCCACAGGAAACCAACGCCCTGGGCCCTCTCCCGGCGGCATTTCCGCCCGTGTCTTGCAGTGGGAATGCCACCCTTTAGAAACAGGACCCAAAAATGACCACGCACTTATGTTAAAGGTCCCTGTCCCTCTGTGGGGCTTGCGTTGGCCGTGACTTAGCTCCTCCGACGCGGATCTAAAAATTGTCAAGGGGGGGCTGTGAGCGAGCTTGCCCCAGGTTCCCATCGTCCGGGCAGCTGCTCCCCAAACGAACACACGGACAGGGACGGGCCGGAAGGTCAGGGACAGGCCAGCAGGTCGGGGACAGGCCGGCGGGGCAGGACCCGCCGTGAACACCAACCTTCAAAGCCACGTGCCTGCTTAGGGGCACCTGGATTGAGGAGAACTTTTAGGGGAGCAGACAGAACTGCCCGGTTGACTTACCCACGCAGCAGAGACATGCCACCATCACCACGTCCCTCACTCTGCAGAAGGGCCGTGTCCCCTGGCAGGTTTCTACCCTCCTCAGAGGTCATTTCTCCCTAAAGGAAAAAAAGAGAAAGAAAGGAAATCCTAGAGTTTTCTCTCTTGCTTTGCATGGCTCTNTAAAGGAAATATTGAAAGGAAGACATTTGGATGACATTCAGGACATCAAGGGCAATACGACGACAGCTCTATGGCCATTGCAGAAAAAGAGTTCCAAAGTTGCTTTGAAGGGTGGACTAGGCGCTTGCGTCGGTGCATAGTTTCCCAAGGCTCGGAGGACTTCGAAGGTGACTGTGGTGACATTCAGCAGTGAGGGATGGAGCAGTTTTTCTAGGACGAGTTCGCAAACTTAATTGTCAGGCCTCGGATATATATGGCACCATGTTCTAAGAAAGAAAGCAGGATATTTTGTGTCCTATAGGTCAATGTAGCTTTCTGTTGTAGCATTTAGACAAAGGAAACAATGAAAAAAAATGCAAGTTCAAGGAGCCTCACCAAGCCGTAGAAATCCGGACCTGTAGCTGCCTCATTTGCAAACCCCTTCACGGTTTCTTGTTACGTCTTCTGCTGACTGATAACGCTCTGAGCGTCACGGTCCTAGGCCAGCTGACACCTTTCTTTATGTCTGCAAAGATACGTCACATGCGTCAGTCAGGACAGAGTGACCCGGTGTCGCAAGCCCCACCTTGTCCACCTTGACGAGGAAATGCACCGCACAAACGGGCCCAAGCTGATCACCACGACCGTGAGAGAAACAGGAAAGCCTGCTGTGACTGAGGCCCCCGCCACTTCCTGCAGGGAAACAGAAAGATCTGCTTTGCATGACCTTACGGCTTTCCAAGCTGGCCCACGGGGCCTCCCCCATTCAGGAAGCCCAGCCCTTCTGCCCAGAGGCCCTGAGGGCTCCCTGTGGAGGGCTGGGCATCACATGTCGTGTCTGCAGAAAGAGCCAAACGCTGGGCGCCTGTAGGGAAGTGTTACATCATTCATTCACTGGGAAGCCAAGAGGATAATGAGATGCCTCGTCCACGTGTGGGCGCAGAGAGAGCACCGGTCGGCCAGACACGGGCGGTGGTGTGAGCGGACCGTGTCCCCACAAAGCTCTGCTGTGGAGGAAGTCCCAGCCCCCAGAAGGAGACCGTATTTGGCAGTAGGGTCTTCAAAGAGGTGACTGAGGTGACATGAGGTCACCAGGGTGGGCCCTGATCCAACAGGACCGGGTCCTTATAAGAAGAGGAGGTGAGGACACAGACACACACAGAGGGACGGCCATGTGAGGACACGGGGAGCAGACGGCCGTCTGCACGCCCAGGAGAGAGGCCTCGGTGGGGGGGACCAGCCCTGGGACACTGGATCTCGGACTCCAGCCTCCAGGCCTGGGGGACAATCATTCCTGCTTGTTACTCTGTGAGAGACTCAATTCCAGCCTGTCCTCCTGTGTTTGCTGCCGCCTCAGGAAACCCACGCAGACGGGACTGGTTCCCACACGGCACAGACACCCCAGTCACTGCAGTTCTTCTCTGCTCCCCGTCCTCACCTTCCGTTTCTGGAAAGCAGGGACCACTCCCGGGCTGCAGGCTGACACCACCGCCTGCTGGGACGCGCTTCGGTCCGCAGGTCTCGTTGGCCTCCGTGACTGACTGTGGCCTGGGCGTGGCTGTCAGGACACGCGCTGTACCCTCAGCCCGTGCAGCTAGCTGGACCTTGTGTGGGACAGACGGACACGCCGGCCGGCAGAGTCATCTCGTAGTCAGCCCTCGAAGCTGGGAACCCCGTGGGTCGGACAACACGGGGAAGATTTGCAGGCAGGCCTGAGGCCTCCGCGATTTCCTTGTAGGCTGTGGACACACCCCCCGCCCTCAACCGACAGTCACCAAACACCACGTTTGTTTTCAGGACGAGCAACGTTCAGATCCCCTACGGGTCAAGGGGGCCCTCACGGCGCAGCCACCTACGCTTGGAAGTCCTTCACTCATCGCCCCCCCCCCGCTGTCCGATTTAGTTGTTTGGATCAGTGTTCAGACCTTCTACGGTTCAAATGCAATCTCTCCAAGTTTGGGTGAATAAAAACAAGCACCCCCGCGCCCAGGACACCTCCTACTCTGGGGCTCCCCAGGTCCCCACACAAGGGGAACTGCCACCTTCTTATTATTCAGCCCAGGTGCCCCGAACCCAGAGGGTCCTGTGTCCGCCTCCAGGAGGCCCGTGCGTGGGCTGTGGGTCCGACTCTGCAGATGCACGAGGGGTAGGGACGTCCCCTTCCCTAAACGGGGCAGGACGCCGTGACCGGGGGTCACCTCGTCCAGGAAGCACCGGCCCGGAATCCTGTTTTCACTTTTAGGCCCGATGGTTGTGTATCCACGTGGATAAGGCACGTGTGTCGCTTGGCTCCACGGCCCTTTAGTGAGAAGCGGCCCTTGAACGTGCAGGGGGCCTCACAGCGCAGGAAACCCAACAGGTGTCTGCGCTCACCGGCTTCTGTCGTCACCGCGTTGTGTCACACCGTCGAAACAAAACACCGCAGGCGACGCTGCGGTCAGGGCCCAGGAGCACAAGGCACACGAAACGCGCGTTTCCGGCCGAGAAATGAACAGCGCGGGGTCCCCCATGTTCACAAGCAGCCCCTGCCCAGCCCAGCCACGCGACAGGCGTCGACCCACACCGTCCACAGCCCGCCCGAGACCCTGAGCACGGTTCCCACCAGCTGCAGTTTTACGTAGTCATGTCACAGCGTGTCGGAAACCGTTTGCATCTCTTGTAACTTAAAATACTAGCTGTCGATCTTGAAATTATTTTAGAATGTGCAGTGAAAGCGTTCCGTGTTCATTCCCTAGGGAGGCGGGACAGAGGCCCACACAGCAGGGCTTCAACTGCAGGGACCCACCCGCCCCCGTCCTGGAGGCCAGGAGGCTGCCGCCACGCTGTCCCAGGGCCACGCTCCCTCCGGAGGCCCCAGGGGACNGATAGATAGATAGATAGATAGATAGATAGATGATGATAGATACATGATAGATAGATAGATGATAGATAGATGATGATAGATAATACATAGATGATAGATAGATAGATAGATGATAGATAGTTGATAGATGATACAGATGATAGACACATAGAAGATAGGTAATAAGTAGATAGATATAAACAGATGATAGATGATGATTGATAGGTTCAAACATAGCTAGCTTATAGATAGATGATAGGTAGTTAGGTAAGATGATAGATAGATGATAGATGACATGAGACACATGATAGATGGATGATAGACAGACACACATACACACACATATGTACATACATACACAGATGGATTTGGCAGGGGGATAGATAGAGAGAGAGAGACAGACAGACACACAGACAGACAGAGGCGTTAAGGAACTGACCCACGTGACTACGGAGCTGTCAAGTCCGAACCCCGCAGGGCAGGCCAGCAGGCCGGAGACCCTGGAAGAGCCGATGTGGCAGCTCGAGGCCAAAGGCCGTCTGCGGGCAGACGTCCCTCGTCCTCAGAGCAGGTCAGCCTTGGCGCTAGGCACGCCTTCAACGGATGGGACGAGGCCCACCCACATTATGGCTTCACTCCACGTCCCCCGATTTAAATGCGACACTCATCCAAAAAAAAATAAATAAACGCCCTCACAGCAGCACCTCGACTGCTGTTTGACCACATGTCTGCGCACGGCGGCCTGACCAACGTGACACATAGAAGTCACCATCAACCCGCCTGGCTGACATCTGGTCCCCGGACCTTGCTCAGGGCTCACTGTGGCACTCACCCAGCCGTGCCCAACTCCCGGGGCCCAACCGGCCCCCCAAACCTCTGCTGTGTTACCCATGAGGCCCCCCCTAATCCAATGTCCACCCTGAGCTTGCTCCTCAGGCTGAACCCCTTGGATCAGCTGCCCCTTGGATTCGACTTATGTCTGTGGGGACACACAGGGCCTCCCCATGCCCCAGGGAACGGTAATGCCCAGGAAATGGACACGCCGAGGGCCACCGTGAGGTGGCCAAACCTCTGTCACCCTGTCAGCAACAGAGGGGGGCTCTGGGAAGGGGCCTCAGGAATTGGGGGCAGGGGCACCCCCACAGTCATCCACTAAGTAGGGGACCTTCGTGCTCCGCCTGCTCGAGCAATCAACCTCTAAGCTCATCTTAGCAGGGGTTGGGGGTACGGTCACGAGGGAACGTGGCTGTGTGTGGTTTTCTTGAGTCTTTTTGTGGACATAGCTTTTCATTTCTTTTCTTCCTTAGTTCTGTTGAGACATAATTGACTTGTGACATTGTATGAGTGCCAGGGTTTGCAACATAATGACATCATATAGGAGGTCTGAGAAAGAAGTTTGCAAACTTGTTGCAACGATGTTGCTGACCTTTATTGCTATCAGAAGGATTATTCGTTATGAAATTGTGCCAACTGGACAAACAGTGAACCAAGTTGACTATTCGGAAGTGCAGAAAAGGCTGCTTGAAAAAGTTAGACAAAAATGACCTGAACTTTTCGCCAACAATTCATGGCTCTCGCATCACGACAATGCACCAGCTCACACGGCACTGTCTGTGAGGGAGTTTCTAGCCAGGAAACAAATAACTGTATTGGAACACCCTCCCTACTCACCCGATCTGGCCCCCAATGACTTCTTTCTTTACCCAAAGATAAAGGAAATATTGAAAGGAAGACATTTGGATGACATTCAGGACATCAAGGGCAATACGACGACAGCTCTATGGCCATTGCAGAAAAAGAGTTCCAAAGTTGCTTTGAAGGGTGGACTAGGCGCTTGCGTCGGTGCATAGCTTCCCAAGGCTCGGAGGACTTCGAAGGTGACTGTGGTGACATTCAGCAGTGAGGGATGGAGCAGTTTTTCTAGGACGAGTTCGCAAACTTAATTGTCAGGCCTCGGATATATATGGCACCATGTTCTAAGAAAGAAAGCAGGATATTTTGTGTCCTATAGGTCAATGTAGCTTTCTGTTGTAGCATTTAGACAAAGGAAACAATGAAAAAAAATGCAAGTTCAAGGAGCCTCACCAAGCCGTAGAAATCCGGACCTGTAGCTGCCTCATTTGCAAACCCCTTCACGGTTTCTTGTTACGTCTTCTGCTGACTGATAACGCTCTGAGCGTCACGGTCCTAGGCCAGCTGACACCTTTCTTTATGTCTGCAAAGATACGTCACATGCGTCAGTCAGGACAGAGTGACCCGGTGTCGCAAGCCCCACCTTGTCCACCTTGACGAGGAAATGCACCGCACAAACGGGCCCAAGCTGATCACCACGACCCTGAGAGAAACAGGAAAGCCTGCTGTGACTGAGGCCCCCGCCACTTCCTGCAGGGAAACAGAAAGATCTGCTTTGCATGACCTTACGGCTTTCCAAGCTGGCCCACGGGGCCTCCCCCATTCAGGAAGCCCAGCCCTTCTGCCCAGAGGCCCTGAGGGCTCCCTGTGGAGGGCTGGGCATCACATGTCGTGTCTGCAGAAAGAGCCAAACGCTGGGCGCCTGTAGGGAAGTGTTACATCATTCATTCACTGGGAAGCCAAGAGGATAATGAGATGCCTCGTCCACGTGTGGGCGCAGAGAGAGCACCGGTCGGCCAGACACGGGCGGTGGTGTGAGCGGACCGTGTCCCCACAAAGCTCTGCTGTGGAGGAAGTCCCAGCCCCCAGAAGGAGACCGTATTTGGCAGTAGGGTCTTCAAAGAGGTGACTGAGGTGACATGAGGTCACCAGGGTGGGCCCTGATCCAACAGGACCGGGTCCTTATAAGAAGAGGAGGTGAGGACACAGACACACACAGAGGGACGGCCATGTGAGGACACGGGGAGCAGACGGCCGTCTGCACGCCCAGGAGAGAGGCCTCGGTGGGGGGGACCAGCCCTGGGACACTGGATCTCGGACTCCAGCCTCCAGGCCTGGGGGACAATCATTCCTGCTTGTTACTCTGTGAGAGACTCAATTCCAGCCTGTCCTCCTGTGTTTGCTGCCACCTCAGGAAACCCACGCAGACGGGACTGGTTCCCACACGGCACAGACACCCCAGTCACTGCAGTTCTTCTCTGCTCCCCGTCCTCACCTTCCGTTTCTGGAAAGCAGGGACCACTCCCGGGCTGCAGGCTGACACCACCGCCTGCTGGGACGCGCTTCGGTCCGCAGGTCTCGTTGGCCTCCGTGACTGACTGTGGCCTGGGCGTGGCTGTCAGGACACGCGCTGTACCCTCAGCCCGTGCAGCTAGCTGGACCTTGTGTGGGACAGACGGACACGCCGGCCGGCAGAGTCATCTCGTAGTCAGCCCTCGAAGCTGGGAACCCCGTGGGTCGGACAACACGGGGAAGATTTGNTTCTCAGGGGCGGGGGCCGGGCTGGCTTACGCTGCTTTTTAAACACGGAGGTGAAATTCACGCAACACACAATTCGCCCTGCACACCTCAGGGGCATTTAGCGCATTCACAATGTTGTGTGAGCAGCACCTCTGGTTCTAGAGCATTGCATTCCCCCCCAAAGAGACCCGTCCCCGTGAGCGGTCACCCCCTCCCCGCCCCCAGCCGCTGGCAGCATGCACCCACTTCCTGTGTCTGCGGATGGGCCGTTTCACAGTGGATAGAGTCACACCCTGGGTGGCCTAGGTGTGTCTGGCTTCTGTCACTCACTGAGCACCGTGTCACCCAACGTCCCTCCACGTTGCAGCAAGTGGCAACGCCTCCTTGTCAGGGCCGAGTAATACTCCACCGTGTGGACGGAATCCCACTGAGTTTGTCTGTCCATCATCCACGGACACTGGGCTCCCCCGCCTACTGTCGGCGGCAAACAGTGCCGGCGGGAGCGCCCGGTGTCGTCCCTCTCCTTGACCTGCTTGACCAGGAGGCGTGGCCAACACAACGGGGTGGCAAGAACGCGGGCCTTTTCCGAGTCCTCCTGACACGGGCACCTCTTACCACGGGGACCCCAGAGCCTGGCCTCCAGCAGGGAAGTGAAACCTCCCGCTCGCCTGGGCCTCTGGGACTCACGTTCCTGTTTGTTTTTCGAGGTTGCTGCGGTGACGAGCTCTGCAGACAAGCAGCGGCCCATTGTGGGGGGCGGGGTGGGGTGGCAGAGAGGGTGCTGGGGTGCAGGACGCGCAGGGTGTGTCGCTTCCTTTCCAGGGCATCTGTCGGTTCGAAGTTACAACAGGGCCACCCAGGGCTGCAGAGAAGACAGACGGCAGAGGGGCCAGGGAGGCTCCCAAGACCTTCAACGTGGCCGCCGGCAACCCCCTGGGGCCGGGCACCCCCCCCCACCTCTCAGGGTCGGGGCTGCTGTGACAGGTCACGCTGACACCAGTGTGCAGGGCACGGGTTCGGGACTGGTGTTGGTGGCGCGGCCGAGGAAGTGTGGCCGTCCGCACACCCACACGTACCCGGGGCAGACGTCCACACGGACGGCACTCCTGCCCCTCCTGGGGGTGCACTGTCCTCCCAGGCCCCCGGTTGCTGCAGCTGGGGCCCCCGTGTGCGGGGAAGGACAGAAGGCCCTCCCCCTGCAGGACAGGACCCAGGTGGACAGGCTTGGGGTTTGGGGAGCGGGCTGGGCTGGCCCCATGTTGCTGTCCAGTCATCGTTAAGTGGTGGGGTTCCCTCTGACCCCACGGAGAACCGATGCCTGTCTGCCCTGACTGGGTGTGAACGGGCCACGTCCGTCCCCTGTGTGTGTTCCCTCCTCTGGGCCCGCCGCCCCCACTGCTGATGGCAGGAAGGCGCTCACGACATGGACACACGGGCCGTTTCTCAGGCCCAGGCGCCGACCACCCTCCCTTGTCCGGCACCTCGCAGGAGGGAGCCTATGGCATCGTCGGTTCCTCGCGTTCCACAGCTTCCCGTGTACGTCGTGCCCGGCGGCGGCTCCTGGCGTCTCGAGCTCAGGGGCAGCAGACAGCACCGCGTCCTATGCTTCGGGGGGACAGTCAACAGCAAAGTCGCCCCCCAAAAAGCACAAAACTGCGCACACACACGGCACGACAGAAACTGCAAAACGAACACTTGTTGGCAGTCTCGGGCCCAGCTGGGGACACACGTGACCGGGACACCGCCACGAGCATGGGTCTGGGGGCTGCAAATCCGCCTCACAACCCTGCAGGTTGGCAAACACAGAACGTGACAAGGGTGAAACGCACCTGCCTTNTGTGTGTCGCTGCTCGTGGGCTAGGCCTAGGGGCGGAATTGCTGGGGCCTGCAGCTGTGTGTTGAGCCGACGCACCGCCGGGCCGTGTCCACGGGGCAACCCGCAGACAGGGAAGAGTCGAAGGGGACAAGGCTGACCCGGGTCCTTGCCCGGACAGTGCCAAGGCGTCCTACATCATCGGGGGCCACACTTCATACCTGGACGGGTAGGGCCTCACCTAGCGCCAACCTGGTTCTTAGCCCAGAACCCGGACTTTTGTGGACGTGACGATAATCGTGACGGATGTAGGATGAATCTTTTTCCTGGGAGGGACCACGCAAAGGGTGGGGGAGACCTAACTCAGGTCTTAGAACGATGTTTTGGGTTATCGGCACCCCAGTTTTGGGTTATCGGCACCCCAGTTTTGGGGTAATAGTATGTCCCCCCTCCCAAATTCATGTCCCACCCAGTACCTCTGAATTCGGGACCTTGTTAGAAAATACGATGTTTGATGATTTAACTAAGATGAGACCAAGCGGGATCAGGGTGGCCCTAAATCCAGTAACAAGTGTCCTTGTAAAGGACAAGAGAGGAGAGACACAGACACAGAGAAGAAGCCACGTGGAGACGGAGGCAGACATTGGAAAGTCTAGACAGACGGTACAAGGAGATAAGTTGCTAAAACGTAAGGATGATAGATGATAGACAGACAGACAGGCAGGCAGGCAGACAACAGGTGGATAGGTGGGTGGATTGTCTAGATAGACGGGTGGAAAAGTGAAGCTCATTTGCCTCAAATGTTCCCCTGTTTGATGGTCTCATTTCAATGCACAGTTTATGCGTCTTATTTTAAAAAAAGAGCTCGCTGGTTCACTGAGCCTCGCTCCGGGAGGAGCCAGCCCTGCGGACACATTGCTTTTGGTCTCCCGGCCTTCAGAACTGGGAGACACCATGTTTCCATTGTTTTGAGCTCCCGCACTTGCGGTCATTGGCTCAAGCAGCCGCAGGAAACTCACGGAATGGCTGCCTTCCACGGTGGCCACTGGGCTTGCAGAGGGGACGTCCTGTCCGAGNCTCGGCCGGCCTCGCCACCAGGAGGTGGGTGTGCCGGCGGGTGCCCGGCGGGGGGCCTGGCGTGGGCTCGCCGGCTGCACACGGGTCTCAACATCAACAGCGCTGTGTCTGATCATGACCAGGTCGTGACCCTAATGGCTTAACCTCAATTTCCTCTGCTATTGCACACGAAAAGCATTACATTGTCTGGCTTCGCCGGCGCAGGGGTGCCGTGCTGATAAACGGGCTCCCCTCAGAACCGAGCTGCACAGATAGGTGTCCGCCCGTGAAACGACACGGCGCTGAGCCACAGCACCGCCGCCGACGCGGTGCGGCTCAGCACGGGCGGTCTGGGGCCTGCTGCTGGCTCTGGACCTGCTGTCCCCTCAGTGTCAGTGGGGGTGTGGCTGCGGCAGGCCCTGCGTGGTAAGTCAGTCCCGTGCCTCCGGGACGGATACTCGCAAATTAGGAAACAGTTCTTCTTATCTCATCCCCGACTTTCTCGTGTGAAGGCTTGGGGTAGGGGGGGAGGGGGTTTGCAACGATTCTCACCCGACAACTTGGTTGATAAGCGACCAGGACAGGGCGGGGTTACAGAAGCAGGCCGCACTCAGGGGGGACCGCTAGGAACCCCGTTCGTGGTGGTGGAGTGGGGGCTGGTGACACGCGCGGCTTCTGATTCGAACACGGAGGGACCCGGCCCCTTAAGTCTTGTCCAGGGCTGAACCATCCGTCTCCTTGGCCCTGCCCAGCCCCTGGGAACCCTGAGCCTGCCACGTTCAGAATATTGCTTCTTTTATTTTATTTTATTTTTTTATTTTAAGCTGAGCCCTCCTGCCACCTGTTGGCAGCTCAGCAGCAGCTCAGCTTGGGCCGGGACTCGAACCGCTGTTGCTCAGAGCTCACACTGTTGAGCGAGCTCTTAACCAACTGAGCCACTCGGCCGGCCCTGGCAATATTGCTTCTTAATGTCACCCCAGTCTCATCCGTGATGCGCGCCGTGTGCTTAGAAGGGACCCGACTCTGCCATCGATTGAGGGTCTTGTCGCGGACATTCCAGGGGCCTCGTGCGAGGATAATATGTGGGTTCAAACGAGAGCTGGAGTGTGTCTTTGGAATGAGCTGTCTCGGGAATCGGAGAGACGCGTTCGCCGCCGCGCTGGGAAAACCCGGGCCGTCTGCCAGGGTCTCGCTTGTCTGAGGGTTTGTGTTTTGGGGTTCTCTGAAGCAACAGGGATTGTGTCGGTCACCTTGGCAGGGCCGCAGGGGGCCCAGAGAGCTGGTGAAGCATGATTGTGGATAATTCTGAGAGGGCGGCGTTTCTGGGTGAGGACCGCGTTTGAATGGAGGCGCTCAGCGAGGCAGATGGCCCTCCCCAGGGTGGGCACCCCCGTCTCGTCCTGCACGCTGCTGCAGGCCTGGATGGAGCAACAGCGGGCGAGGGAGCCTTCTCTCTGTCTGTCTGTCTGTCTGTCTTCGAACTGGGACATCTGTCCGCTCCTGCCCGCAGAGCGACACAAACGCCTTCGGCTCTCCTGGGTGTCCCGCTTGCAGGCAGGAGATCGTGAGGCTTCCCAGCGTCCAGCGTCACGTGAGCCAGTTCCTCTTAATAGATCTTATATACGTAGGGTCTGTTTCTCTGGGGAGTCCTGACTATTCCCAGGACCCAAAGGAGGTATCATAGATGATAGATAGATAGATAGATAGATAGATAGANAGGGGACCCCTGGCATTGGGAGGCCCTGGGCTTGGGGTGCAGCAGCTCTCAGCCGGACCTCGGCCCAGCCACCTGGCCTCTGTGTCCCTCAGTCAGCATCTTGGGAGGGTGGCCAGCAGCCCAGGACGCCGTGTGCCCACAGCACATCTGAAAGGCCGCTCGGGGGCCCAAGGCCGGCTTCCGAGGGCAGGTGGCAGGGCCGGGCGTCTACTTCCGTCTCCCTTTCCTCTGTGGCCTGCAGGTCCGTGTCACTGTCTCACCGAGGCCCGGGGACACAGGGTTTCCTCTCCCCTCCTCGCAGCCAGCCCCACACGACTGCAATGCAGCACCTGCCTTGTCCCCATCCCTGCTGCCTCCTCAGCAGCTGCGTGTGACCTGCAGCGGCCCTGGGACCGAGGATACCTC